CCGCGGCCGCGCGCCCGCCGCTGACAGCCGCGCCGCGCCCGCCCGTCTCCATGGCGACGCGAGCAGCCCGGCGTCAGCGCGGCCCGCGCCCGCCCGCGGTCACCCGCGCTCTGCATCCGCCGGCGGAGCGCGGGAGGGCCGTCTCCCCTCCCGCCGGGGCTTATATAACGCCCTAACCCACTTCGCGGCCGGCTCGGCTTTGTGCTGCGGCTTTTCTGCGGCAGAGCCGCGAGCTGATTGCAGAAATTAAAGGCCCATAATCTCGGAATGCAAATTCCACCCAGTCTCACCCACCTTCAGATTCCTCCTTCCGGCTTGCTCTTTCCAGAAGCCCAGTCCGAGGATCGAAAAATGCCCCCCACATGGACAAAGAAAGCCACGCCAGCACAAAATGCGGATCTCTCCCATCAGCCATCCCGGACTTCACGACTCTTCGTGCCTTCCCCACACCCTTCATGTCCCTCTTTATCACTGGGATACCAAGCCCGGCTGCCCAAGTGGCTCAGTGGTAAAGAATTCGCCTGCCAATGCAGGAGATACAGGTTCGATCCCTTGGTGGGGAAGATCTCCTGGAGGAGGAAATGACAACCCACTCCAGTATTCTTGCCTGAAGAATCCCATGGACAGAGGAGCCTGGTGGGCTACAGTCCATAGGGTCGCAAAGAGTCAGACATGACTGAGCAACTGAACAACAACCACCACCACCAAGCCCTCCAGGTACAGAGGGTATCTGTTTACATCAGTCAGGTCCAGGGTGGAGCACGGTCTCCCAGGGGATATGGAGTCTGTGTTACTGCCGTTCTGGTTCCTGCCCCAAAGGCATGGGCCATCAGTCAGATACCATAAAAGCAACTTTCTGCCATGCAAGTGCAAGTTCTGCAAGGTGGAAGTGGACTGGTCCTGTGGTACAACCTTGACTTTTATCCCAGACTCCAGCTACTGGAGCTGAAGTCACAGAAGCCATTAATTAGCCAGTCTGATCAAGCTGAGGATAGAGCACTCAGTTTGAGACTCTCAGGTCCCCTCCACAGGTGGTCCATGGAGTCCAGGGTCTACCCTCTCCTTTTCCATCCAGCAGGGCCCAGGCATGACTCCTGCTGCTGCTGCCAGCCCTGTTCACCATCTCCCATGGCTGGTCTGTAGCCGCCTCCCCTATGGGGCAAGAAAAAGCCTGGCAGGGTCCCTGAGTGCCACTTGGTCTGGCTGCTTGATCTGGGAAAAGGGAAATCTTGTCCCACATAGAGCCCAATCTGGAGATCTTTGAAAGTGGCTGCTGATATCTTTTTGTGGTTTAACAGCTGGTTTCTTTTTAATCGCTGAAGAATATTCAGTTGTACACACGTGCCACAGTTTATTTACCCACTGAGTTGGGTTGTTTCCAGGTTTTGGCAATATGAATAAAGCTGCTTTAGGTATTCATATAAAGGTTTTTCCACGGATGTAATATTTCTAGGCATCTGAGTAGACACCTAGGAATACAGTTACTAGAATAAGACTAGTGTTGAATAATTTGAATATAAGAATAGTTGGAATAAGTTGAGTAAAACTGTTTACCTGGGTAAGAAGCTGCCTAACTGTCTTGAAGCCGCAGTACAGTTTTGCGTTCCCACCCATTGTGAATGAGCGTTCCTCTTGCTCCACAACGGCTATTGGTGTTGCCAGTTTTCTGGATTACAGCCATTCTGATAGGTATGGGTTGGTATCTTATTTTAATTTGTAAGTTCCCATATGACTTGGAGCATCTGGTAACCTTGACACCTGACTTGATGATCCTTGCTGAGGGATTTTAGCAAATAAAGATGAAAACTGGAGAAATGCATGAGGAAGCATTTGGGAGCCCACCACTGTCATTGTCACCATCAACACCATCAATTCTTTTCTCAGGTGTCTTCCAACCCACCTTTGCCCTAAGATTCTCTCTTAGCGGAGCCACCAGAATGTAACGTGGAAAAGGCTGGGTGAGGAGTGTGGCTTCAAGCCACAGTGTGGCTGCCAGAGTACCTGCCCCTGCCACAGCATCCCTATTAGGGAGACTGAGGGTTCTATCTTAAATTTGCTTCATGTCGTTAAAGGGATAATGTTTAATCAGTGAAGTTTGAAGTGATACTTGACCTGGGACAAATACCTCCCAAGGAGAGCCCCAGCTTTGCCCTAACCCTCACCCAGGGTTCATATCCCAGACCTGGCCCTGCCCTCCAAGAAATGTTGAGGTTCTCTTGTGAGCTGAAACCAACAAGGTGACATGCACAACTGCCAGGAGAGCATGAGTGGGTGCCCCTTGCAGGAATCCTGGCCAGGAGGGTCCCATACCCTCATTCCTGGGGGAGGAGGGGATGCTCTGGATCAGGGCCGGCAGGATGAGGGCTAGAGGGTCTTGGCACAGAGAGTCTCAAGCTAGATTGAAGTCCTTATGTTTTCTTTCTCACGTTTTGATTCCTGGTGGCTTCCCTGGTGGCTCAGATGGTAAAGAATCTGCCTGCAATGCAGGAGATGTGGGTTCAATCCCTGGGTTAGGAAGACTCCTGGAGAAGGGAATGGCAAACCACTCCAGTATTCTTGTCTGGAGAATCCCATGGACAGAGGAGCTTGGAGGACTGCAGTCCATGGAGTTGCAAAGAGTCGGAAACGACTGAGTGACCAACACTTGCACCTGACTCTCATTTTGATTCCTGACTTCCCCGAATATCAGCTTTCACTATGATTTGATGGCTGTTCTGAGTATGTACATATTCAGAGGATAAACTCATTTCTAATGAGTAGATGCAGGTGTAAAAAGCCCAGCATGACTCGTGATTTTCCGCATTAACCAGGTGCACAGCTGGGGCTGTTGAGGGGACAGAGGTCCGCCTTGAGGAGCAGGAAGCCACAGGGGTTCTGGAATGGTCGGGAAGCTCAGCGCACAAGCTGGTCTGGACGCAACAGGTCCTCGTTCAGACGATGTCCCCTCAGCCCGGGCCCCATGGCTTTGTACCTGGGTCCTGGAGCAAGAGTGCCCAACAGGAGACGAATGAAAGCAAAATGAGTGCTTCTTCAAAATGCCCAGGGGCCCAGGCACAGGAGCCAGGTGGCAGAGGGCAAAGCTGTATTTGGGCAGTGGCCGTGCCTTTCCTGTGGCTTCTGGTGATGGCTGCAATCACGGTGCCCCTCGGCTTCTAGACACTTTGTCCTAAACACTGTCCCCATCTCCACACAGTGTTGTCTGCATCTCTTATAAGGACATCAGTCACGTGGGTCAGGGGCCCACCTCACTCACTCCAGCGAGACCTGATCTTAATTTGCATCTTAGTCACATCTACAAATACCCTGTTTCCAGTAAGGTCGCATTCCCAGGTGCCAGGGGTTACGACTTCAGCACGTCTCTGGAGGGACACGATTCCCCTCGCGACAAGCATTTGCAGCGGTGCTGACAGCATCCGCCATGCTGCCGTTCTTTGGCTCGGTCACCAGTACCCTGGACACAGATGTCCACGCTGGTGGCTTCAAGTGGGGCCTGGGCTGCTCCCACATGTGGGGGCCCTTGGCAGATGTCAAGATCATGGGTGGCACTTGTGGAATTGCCAGCAGTGAGGGGACAGCACTCCTGCCAGCCAGTGTAAACAAGAAAGTGGGAGTGGGCTGTGATACCCTGGGGAGCCTCAGATTATCGAGGGGGAACTTCACCCAGTGATCCTCTTTTCTCCTAGTCTGCTGTCTAGCTGGGGCTACTCTTGAGAACATTCAGTCCAAAACGAACACATTGTTAATCAACTATACTCTTATATATAAAAAAAAGTGTTTTTAAAAAGAAAAAATATTCCATCCCAAATTGCAGGGTGGGGCGGGGTCTCTCCAGACCCTTGGCACCAAGGTGGCCAGAGGGAGGCCAAAAACAAGCAGAATGAGGTCAGGTAGCAGAGGGCATGTGGACAGACGCCAAGCCTCACACTTGGATGAGCACACTTCCAGGAAGGCCAGGCTCAGCCGCGGGAACCATCTAATCCTAGCGGGGATGCAAACTAGACCAGAGTTCAAGATGTGGGCCCACAGGTAAGCATGCGGAGGCAAGACACAGGAGTTCACGAATGTGAGCCCGGAGGGGCTGCAAACAACTGCCAAGCCCAAGCCCCTGGCCCCTCATTGAGCTTGTGCATCTGGCAAAGGAACTCCTTCCTGCCAGGAAGCAGCATCACACATGCGGTAGGTCCAGCCTTCTGAGCAGACACAGGTCACCTCTGAGCCACAGTACACCCTCTGCTGTTCATCACTGCCACCTCTGCTGGGGGAATCCCCTCATCACCACCACATGGAGGCCTTGGGTGGTCGTTGACTCCCTTTCACATCTGTCTCAGAGATTCCAGAAAGCTCCCCTGCTTCCCCCACCCCTGCCCCACATGATACTACCTCATCCCCACCTGCCAGGATGGCATGGGGACACACACAAGGACGCTCAGCCCGTGGGGTGTCCCAGCCCCGCTCCTTTGGGGTGGACCTGGGTGCAGGGTTAGCCATATGCTTCAGAGTTTATTTCGCAATAAACTTAGCTTCTAAAGGTGAGTCTTCTCTGTTCTCCTGCATGTCTGCCTACCTATTCTAGTTTTCCGGCTCTGTCCCATCTGCTACGCACAACACATAAACAGTGGCTCTCACACTCTGTGTTCCAGCGAGTCTGAGCACAGCCCCTGAGTAGGTGCTGGCCGTCTGCATCTGAACCACTGTCGCTGTCACCTGGGGTAGTATTGCCCTGCCCCACCCCATACAGCTTAGGATTCCTATGCACGCTCTCCACGATGGCAGGGACCCCGGGTCCTCTTGGTTTCTCTGAGCTGCCGCAGATTCCCACAACACAGTCAGGCCATTTTCTACCCAGCGTCCATCGTCTTGCCCAGGGCCCGCCCCTCAGAAGTGGGCTTTGACTTTGGGGAAACCAAGGCTGTGATGACAGTGAAGGGTATGGTTCTTCCCCAGCAGGTACGCAGCTCTGTCAACTCAATAGGAGGCTGATGAAGCTCTTTCTGGGGCCACCGTCTCCCTGTTTTGAGTCACGCAGGTGGATGGGTTACTTCCCTTGGTGTTCTAAGGTGTTACTTGGAATTCTGCTGGCTTTTACAACAAATAGCTCCCCAAATATCATGACTCAACCCAATAGAGGACTACTTCTTGCTCACCCTCCGAGTCCCTGGCGGATGTTCAGGTCATTGGAGGCGGTCTCCGCCACAGGATCTGCAGAGTCCCAGCTGTCTTGCCCCACTGTCTTCTCTGGGGTCCGGTTGCTGTCTGCATCCAGCTGATGGGAGGCGGGGAAAAACCCTGGGAGAAGCTCCGACTGAGACGCGGTGCATTTCACTTCCTTTCAGGGTCTGTTGGTGACAACTAGGCATGTAGCTGCATCTAGTGACAGTGAGAGTGGGAGATCCCGTCTCAGCCGTGCCTGGCTGCATGCCCACAACTGTGGAAGGAGAGAAGAGATTCGAGCGGACAGCTGGCAGGATCTGCCACCCATCCACCCACCCCCAGCCATGCGAGGAAAGGAAGCTTCCCACCCCCAGGGGTTCATCTGCCTTCCTGCCTCCTCCTCCGTGAGCCGTATGGGAGATCCCAGGACCTCCGGGCCCACACCCAGTTCTCATGCCCTGTAACCTTCTCCTTCAAAGAGAATATTCTCTGTTAAAAAATAAGTGTATCTGGAGAAGTAAATGGCAACCCACTCCAGTATTCTTGCCTGGAAAAGTCCGTGGACAGAGGAGCCTGGTGGGCTGCAGTCCATAGGGTTACATGACTGAGCATATGTGCATGAGGGTGGAGGGAGATGGGTTGGTAGCAATAAACTGGTAGAACTAAAAATAATAATAATAAGTATATCTAGTAAATGTTCGAAATGGGCTTTGTAGGTGGCTTAGTGGTAAAGAATCTGCCTGCCAATGCAGGAGATGTGGGTTTGATCCCTGGGTCAGGAAGATTCCCTGGAGAGTGTTATGGCAACCCACTCTAATATCCTGCCTGGAGAATTCCATGGACAGAGGAGCGTGGAGGGCTGCAGTCCAGGGGTCGCAAAGAGTCGGACATGACTTAGCAACTAAGCAGCAACAACAATAAAATGTTTGAAATAGGCTAAATTAACCACCTGACCGTGTTATCTTAGGAAGGGTCCCCATGCTGCCTTAGCTGTATCCATTCGAGTTTATGGAGCATCTACTGTGCGCCTGGAGGTTGGCAGAAATCAAGCATGATGCCAGCCCTGGACACTGACCAGGAGACTCATCACTGTGACCCTTATTCAGTATGAAACTCTCCACCTGGCCAGATTGACGTGACCTGGTTCCATCTCAGTTGTGGACCAGTGCGACAGGGCCTTGGCAGTTCACATGTTAGATTTCTCTCCTTTGGAAAAAACAAAAAAACAAACTCTGTGTTTACCTCCAGGATGGGTTAATCTCCAAACAGCCTGGCGCAGTGCTTGTGCCCAGACACTGGCCCCTCCTGGGCTTGGGGCTTAGCCCCTGATCTGGCTTCACGCGGTTCCCATTTGTGTTTTCTTTGCCATCCACCACCACAAGGGTACTTTTTTCAAAAGACAGACATCTCAGTGGATGAATTCATTCTGGGATGTTTCCCGGACACACACCAGTGAGCTCATTAGCCCAAGCTAATACCAGGAGGCTTCCCCGCCCCCTCCCCTCTTTTTCCTTTTTCTTTCTTTTTTCCTTTTAGTTTGCAGCAAAGAGCAGGACCACGTGATGTCCTCCTCTGAGCTCTCACTAGTTGGGGCAGCAGGGACTAAAATCACCCGCGGGAAGGGAGGGCTGGGCCCTTCTTCTTAGCCCGCTTCTTAGGAGTGTCTGCTTTTGTTTAGCTGACGACAGAAGCGCATACAGGAGATTTCTAGGTCAGCTACTCTCTGCTCTAATGAAAGAGAAATCGAGCCAAAGAGCACAGCAAAACCGTGGCCTGGCTTTCTGGAGTGCCTTGTCTGATTACCCAATGATCACGGCTCAGACAAGGCAGGGATTAACCCCCGAGGTGGGACAGATGGGGAGCACTCTTAAAGCACCCCACAGGGGGTTGCAGACTGAGGAGCAAAGTGACCACCTGTCCCCATCTCTTGGGTCAGCCTGTCCTCATTCGGGGCCTCAGGATCGCTGTCCTTGAGGCCCATGTGTAGAGCCAGCGACTGCCCCTGGCTGGCTCAGGACCCCTGCCCTCCTGCATGTCCGTCCCCATTTTCTGCTCTACCCTAGAATGACCTGGTAGAATTGTTCAGCTGAACTGCCAGTGACTTGGGGCTCGGGGCCTTTGGGACCAGGGCTGGGACACTATCAGATTGTAGCGGACGGGACAGTTTCCATCCAGGCCTCCTTTGCTTTGTGAGCTTCTGAGTGGGCAGCTCCTTCTTTTCCTGCCCTCCAGGGGCCACCTGGGCTGCTTCTGTGTCTCGGAAGCTGGAGACAAGTGAACTGAGATCCGTCTCGTGTCTTGTGCCTTTTTGCTCCTGTATTTGGGAGGTCAGGACAGGCTGTACAAATCTGGGCAAGGAAGTCCAGGGCGACCGTACAGGCAGGAGGTTGCTGTTAGCAGCCCATTCAATAATCAATAAACTATCCTTGATCCTACAGAAGTGGTGATGTTGACCTCGTGAGGATGGGTCCAAGAACATTCATGCTTGATGAGAAGAATTATGGCAAATTGAACATGTTGGGTGACCTCAAATTTGTAATGATTTAGCCAGATGAAGATTTCTTTCTTATCTCTCTAGTTCACATGTGCTCAGGAGCAGTGCACGGAGCAAAGTGACGGCCTCTTCCACTGGAGACATGGGACAGAGGACCTCAACCCTGTGAACAACAGCCCACGCACAACTGCAAGGCCCCCAGGAAAAGGGCCTCTCGCATCCCCAGGCAGCTTACTCTGAGTCTGGACGATGCAGCTCACTCTGCATCTGGACGATTTCACTAGAGACATTTTTAATAGAGTTGAATTATTTTGTATCTTATTATTATTATTTTGTATCTTCCATCCTTTCACCCTCATTCTACCCCAGGTTTTATGGAACAGGGATTGTTCTAAGTGATTCTCATGTGTTAAATTATTTAATCCCAACTGTCATCACATGTTTTACAAAAGAAACCGGGACAAAGAAGTTTCATGATTTGCTCCAGATCAAATAGCCAGAAGGTGGCCAAGCAGCTGGCTCCACAGCCTAGCTTCCCAATCACTGTCTGGTATAGTTATTGCTAAATAATGTTTCTCTCCAAAACCTTAGTTGTTTAAAACAAGGCTCATTGGATTGGCTCAGAATTCTGTGGTTTGGATATTTCAGGAGGGCTTTGCTGGGTGGATCTTCTGTCCCACTGGTACCAACTGAGGTCCCTCGAGGACTGGGGTGTGATGGCACAAGAACTGGGATGGGAGGGTGACTTCACACCTGGCACATGGCAAGGACAAGCCAAAAGGTTCCACGTGACTTTTGCCAAATGACCGGTGAGTGCTTCTTTTCATGACAACTGGACCCCCAAAGCAAGCATTTCAACCTGCAAAGGCAAAAGTTGTATGCTTGCTAAGACCCAGAAGTTACCTGACCCCACATCCACTGAATTCTGTTGATTTAACAAGTCTCAAGGCTGCCCAGCTTCAAGGGGAAGATAACCAAACTCCACCGGTTTATCAAAGAATGACAAGGTCATAACACAGAAGAACAGGTGAGGTGAGAGAGGGTGTTGTGGCCACCTGGGGAAGCATCATCTACCAAAACCACGCCACCACACTGCATCTCTAGAAGAGAAGTTCATGCAACTTACAAGTGATACCTCTCCAGGTATGTGAAGCTCTCTCTCAAGTCTCTCTGAGCCTTCTGTTTGTCAGCTTAGCCTTCTTGTTCCAACAACTGTTCCTTATGAGAGTGGGACACACGCTGTCCTTCTCTGACACACCCAGGACATAGTGTCTGGTTCCAGGCTGTGTCTCAGCTGAAGGACCGTCATCCATGTGTTATAGCTGTGGATACGGCACTGGGAATTGTACACCATCTCACATGGCAGTTCTGTCACCTGAAATTCTCTGTCCCCCATGATGTATTTGTGCAATTGTTTCCAGGGACCCAGGTTAAATTCCATCTTATGAAATCCAGCCTGGCCCTCTGATTCACTGAGCCTTTCTGGATCTCCATCTTGTCTGCCACTGTATTCACGCCCCTTCCCAGCTTTCAGTCAAATGATGTTTGACTCACAACTCACCTCCTTCTTCTGCATCTTCTGCCACATGACCAACAAACCTACTGGCCTGTTCAGAGACAAGAGCGAAGCTCTGAGAACCACCATTTGAGCCTGTCCCCATGTTACAATCTAGCCATGAATCAGCAGCTTTGCAAATGGATGGGGCAGTTGCTCGGGGAGTTTGGGCTTCAACCTGCCCTTGTGTGCAAGCCACCTCTTTCTGTCTTGGCATAAGAACCACTGCTGGCAGTTTGTTCAGGTTCCACAAACTTCCTGCTCCATGACTTCCCCTGGTGTGCAGCACAAGGAGTTTAGTCGGTCGGCCTGGATTGCTTTATGGAGCCCCTGTGGACTCCTGGCGATGGCAAATCCTCCCCTCCCCCAATCATCACTTTAGCATCCCACGCTGGATCCCTGCCCCAACTTGTTCACCTGCTGCCTTGTCTGGATGTCACCGCACTGTCCACCCATCTCCAGCCCTCCTCCTGGGCTCCAGAGCCCTTCAGAGAGAACTGCGGGGATGCTCTCATGGAATTAATCACAGCGCCACAAGTCTGATCCTCTTAAGAATCTGGGTCAGCAGACATAAAGTTAGAGTAGCAGGTGCTGCCAACTCTTTTCTAGAAACGTGGGTTTCTGCTCCCCTCAATGAGAAGGGCATAGGTTCTCCCTTCAAGCCACTTACAGTCTAGTTCAAGGGTGCATGCTAGTAACAATCATATATTTAGAAAAAGAATAAAATTGCTACCTTTACGAGGGTGGAAGTGAGCCATGACAGGGTTTATAAGACAAATTACTTCTACTTGGACAGGGAAAAAGCTTGTTGGAGGCAGTGGCATGTGGAGTAAATCCTAAATATCTGTTGAGCACTGGCGGAGATGCAGAGAGATGGCTTCTGCTCTGCTGCTTATAAGCCTATCCACTCAGGGACATTCTTGAGAATGGCCAGGTGACAATGTAGCAGATTTCTTTAACATGCTGCTACCACTTGATCTAGTGCTGGGCTCCTCTGGTGGCTCAGGTGGTAAAAAACTTGTCTGCAATGCAGGAGACCCTGGTTCAATTCCTGAGTCTAGAGGATCCCCTGGAGAAGGGAATGGCTACCCACTCCAGTATTCTTGCCTGGAGAATCCCATGGACAGAGGGGCCTGGCGGGCTATAGTTTATAGTGTCACAAAAGAGTCGGGCATGACTGAGTGTGCAAAATCCAAGGAACTCATCCACACACAAAGATGTTCAAAGTGTTATTAAAATGATATTGCTGTTGAATGGAAGGGCTTTCCTGGTGGCTCAGTGGTAAAGAATCCGCCTGCAATGCAGGAGACCGGGTTTGGTCCCTTGGTCAGGAAGATTCCCCTGGAGGAGTGCATGGCCACCACTTCGGTATTCTTGCCTGGAAAATCCCATGGTCAGGGGAGCCTGGAGGGCTACAGTCTAGAGGGTCACAAAGAGTCAGACTTGACTTAGCGGCTGATCACGCATGCAGCCTGTTGAATGGAATGCTAGGCAGCCAGCAGAAGACCATGGTGGATACAGACCTGACCTCAGCTTAGGGACTTAAGAGGCCCTCACTTGCTGACCTAGGTATCCAATTAACATGCTCTGACTCTCCATAACTGGTGAAAATGCAATCCTTTCCTGATAATCGTGTAAATGATCAAGCCTTTCCTTCCTCCCAGATGCTTTTTTCTGTCTATGCCCCCTGTCTGGGGCTACCCAAACTCAGCTTCCACAGCCCCCCAAGCACTTTATGCTTTGGGTGACCTTACTGACATTGTGGGGATGTGCAAGGGGGCTCAGATGAGGCCGCTGGGAGCCAGCCCACTCTCAATTCCCTAGTGCAACAGACAGGTCAGTCCCCATGTTTCTCCAGAGCTTTTTCCCCAAAAAGGAGGCAAATTTTTCCCTAGAAGGAGTTCTTGTATCAGTTGCTAATAATATACATTTCCCTCCTTACATTAGTGTGTGAGGAATTTCTCGTGACATGGGAAAATGCTTATGATAACATGAGCTGTGTGTGTTAGTCGCTCAGTCATGTCCGACTCTTTGTGACCCCTTGGACTGTAGCTCTCCAGGCTTCTCTGTCCATGGAACTCTCCAGGCAAGAATACTGGAGTGGGTAGACGTTCCTTTCTCCAGGGGATCTTCCTTATTAGTGTGTATATATTAATCCCAACCTCCAAATTTATCCCTCCCTGGTATCTTGCTGTCTTTATGGACATCAAAGATGTAGAAAAAAGTGCTTACCAGTAAATAATCCAAACATGCATGCATTATGTGCAAAACACATGTACTAGAGACCTCAGCCTGCTTCCTGAATAGAAGGGTGTGGTAGGACCTGGGAAGAGAGACAGAGAAGCAACCAGAGCTCAGATGGTAAGTTGTGTCTAGTTCATCCCACAAAGCAGGGCCAGCTTTGTGGCACAGCCAGTATCACAGGGCCTTGCTGGCTAATGGCCCATCGTTGCATCTTGAAATTGCTAATACTTTTTGCTCAGGGGAGCCCTGCATTTGCATTTTGTGCTGAACCCCACAGACTCTGTAGTCAGTCCTGCTGCACAGCTCAAGGTCCCAGGAGTAACAGAGAGGGTCAGTGGGGTCTCTCCTGGAATCATTGTTGGCGGTGGCACTGTGGGTCCAAGTGCGCCAGGATCACAGGGTGTGGCCCCCTGGGCAGCCTGCAGAGAGGTCCACGGAGATGAGCTTGGGGAGGGCCAGGGGCTAGCCAGACGGCCGGGTGAGCTCTCCTTTTGAGGCCGGCGCCTGGGAACAGCTGCTCACTCTGCCCGGTTGAAGAATTTAGCTGCAAAAAATCTAATTTGGAACTCCCTAATTAAGCTAATGAAGTCAAGTCATTTTAATCTGTTCTCGGTCTAGTCCTGTGTCTAATCCTGGAATAAATAGATAATTGTGACTTTGTGGCATATGTGTCCTTTTTTTGTGATATGTGAGCCAGGCAACATCTTATTTGATTTTTTTTTAACAGTTAGAAAAGGAACTGATTTTCCTTAGCCTTGAGTGTTTGAGATGAAGTGAAATTGCAGTACCTTTAAAATAAGTCAATCATACCCTCATTTTACATTTACTGATGACTATGAACCAGTTATGCCCAAACAGTCCTTTAGTTCTGAGAGACCCTATGAGGTCCACAGGTTTTTCTTTTTAAAAGAAAACTTATGAACAGTCAATGTTCATACACACAGACATCTCCTGAAACAGGCTGAGGTTAGCGGAAGAGAGGCCAAGCTCTTTCTGTCCTTTGGCCTGGAGTTCTACAAACTAGGAAAATTCACTCACTAACCTTTAAACTATATCAGATTATTTCCCTGAGACACACACATCTTCATAATGTCAGGAAAACCTATGAAATCCAGAGACAGAAGGACCCTTGGTTTCATCTGTCCAGTTTCCTTCCAATCACGATTCCTCCTTATGACAAATTCCTACCTTTCCTCAAATAACAGAGATGAAGTCATTCTCTCCCCTTTGGAGCTGATTGCTTCATTTTCTGAATTTTTTAGTAGGAATCCATACACTAGGCTAGTTACAGGCATCATCTATTTCTCTGTTCGTGCTCAATTGCTCAGTCATGTCTGACTCTCTGCAATTCCATAGACTGTAGCCCGCCAGGCTCCTCTGTCCATGGGCTTCTCCAGGCAAGAACACTGGAGTGGGTTGTCATTCCCTTCTCCAGGGGATCTTCCTGACCCATGGATCGAACTCGTGTCTCCTGTGTCTCCTGCATTGCAGGCAGATTTTTTACCCTCTGAGCCACTGGGGAAGCCCAAGAATCCAACATGCCTCCCAGCATAAAATAAAAAAAGATAAAATATCTCTGCTGGAGCAGGTTTCTATCACTCCACTGATAGAAAGCAAGCAGCATTACTGTGTATTTTGGAAGGAAGATGTCTCCTGTGTGTGGACCCTCTGAACAAACACTGGCTTGTGTCCAGCCTTCTGTGTGACCCTACGCAGGCCCATGGAGGGAGAGCAGTCCCCTAGATGAGCCCTGTAATCAAGGCTAACCTGTTAGCACCGAGTTCCTAAGGACCCCAAAGTGAGGAAGGGCCGATTCAAGGAAGACAGGCCCAGAGGAGGACCTTCCGGAGCCTGAGGATGGAGAGAGAAGATGGAGGGCAGAGCTGCCTACGGGTGGGAGCACCCTGTGGACTTCCCCATCATCCTGTGACTGCCCCCAGCGACAATGGACTCTCTCAACCGTGCACAGCAGGGACCCCTCCCCTACTTGACTGATCCAGGGCACCGCATCTCCTACTGGTGACCCCAGAGTCCTGGGCTACCTCCACACTCTGCTGTCCCTCGCCGGGGATTTGGACAAAGGTTGTGAGGTAGACAACTTGGAGGGGGCACGCTGGCCCCCAGGACAGAGGCTCCCCAGCTGTCTATCTCTGGAGAAGCCTCTGAGCTTCCATTTAGGTGGACAGAACCAGAGGATTTTCATGAAGCTTTGAGAAGGAAACCTGGGGGACCAAAAATAACAGAGAAAGACAAATAGCTTTTCTTTCCTATTTTAATATTTGTCACTGAAGAGCCCCCTTGTTTATAACCCTCAGGGCATGTGCTCAGCTCCCATGACAATGCCACTGCGGAGCCAAAATGTGAGCTCAGACGCACTGTCAGCCACAGATGTGCGGCAGGGTCTGGGCGGGGGGCCCCCAAAAGGAGGGGCTGGTGTCAGCTGAGCACGAAGCAGTGGCATACTCTGTGCCACGGACGCTGATCACTGCAACGGTCCAGCCGGGGGCTTTTCACATGATGCTGGAGAGCCCACAGCAGAGAAGATTCTGGGAGACAAGAGGAGAACACAGCTGAATTTGGGTGATGAATTGAGTCTGATTTCATAGAGAGACAGGGAGCTTCTCTGCAGTCAGGCATTTGCTGAACCAAGAACGAGTTCCTGCTGTTGGCCAGTGGACACGTCACAGTGTCCTCTGGGAGATGACAGATGCCCAGATCATATTAATATTTAAGCTGATTAAAGATTTGTAGTAGCTCAGATAACCATGTCACTAGACTCACATCTTTTA